ACAGCTGCCCTCTGTCTGCGGGGCATCCCCCTCCGCTGACGGTCACTCTCTGTTTCCCCAGGGCCGCTTGCCGGTTCGCTGGATGGCCATCGAGTCCCTGAACTACAGCGTGTACACCACCAAGAGCGACGTGTAAGTCCTGCAGGCAGGGGCACCAGGGCTGGGGCATGGCCACATTCGCCTCCATCCCTCCCTGGGATGGTCAGTGCAGCAATGCTTTTGTTCTGGGTGCTGCAAGGGCAGGAGGTGATGCTGGTGCACCTCCCTGGGGAGCTGCTGGCTTGGCCTGAGCCCTGGCTGCCCACTCCATCCTGGGCTTTGCCCTATGCCCATCAGCAGGGCACGGCTAGGGGCTCCGTCACAGCCTCGGCTTCTGCCCTTTCAGGTGGTCATTTGGCGTCCTGCTCTGGGAGATCGTCAGCTTGGGTAAGGCTCTTCTTTGTCCCTTGCCTCCACCCAGGTCCCTGCAGGTTTGGTCCTCCTGCAGCTCTGGAGGAGACACCCAGGGACTGTCCCCGCCGCAGCCAGCTCTGTGTCTCTGGCTGCAGGGGGGACACCGTACTGTGGGATGACGTGCGCTGAGCTCTATGAGAAGCTGCCCCAAGGCTACCGCATGGAGAAGCCACGCAACTGCGACGATGAGGTGTAAGTGGGAAGAAAGCCCCAGCTGATGGCGGTACCCGCATCCCCCTGACCCCACTGCTCCACGGGGTTCCCACCAATTGCGGTAGCTCCTGCCTGGTTTGCCTCTGCACTGTGGCTGGGGGATGAGCTGAGGTCCCACAACCCAAACACCCTTCCTGGGCTTTAGTTTCCCGCCTGCTTCCCCCCATCTCCCACAAACAGCTTTTCTGCTGCCTCTCTCCCTGTGCACGCTGAGCCGCCACCGGATCTCTGCCCCCAGGTACGAACTGATGAGGCAGTGCTGGCGTGACCGCCCCTACGAGCGCCCACCCTTCGCCCAGATCTCCATGCAGCTCATCCGCATGCTGGAGGCCAGGAAGGTGAGTGGCGGCGGCGGCAGGGCTGGGCACAGGGTACCCACATCACCCCGGCTCAGCAGGAGGGATGTCCACCCTGTGCGGGGCTTTCCAAATGCTGGAGCATCCCTTGAGCTCCAGGGGGACATCCAACAGTAGAACCTGTGTGACCCCACCACGCGTGGGGGTAACCCCAGCATCACTTTTCAGTTGTGGGGAGCCCCATCACCTCTCCCCGGGGCACAGTGCCCACAGGGGTGCCAGCAGGGACGGGAGGTAGATGGGGACACTGTCACAACCGGCTCCTGACCGAGGTTCCCCCGCAGGCCTACGTGAACATGGCCCTGTTCGAGAACTTCACCTACGCGGGGATCGATGCCACCGCTGAGGAGGCGTGAGGCTGCGCAGGCACCGCGCAGACAGGCAACACTGGCCCCAGCCTGCTGGGACAGTGCTTTGGGGACGAGGGGCTGCCCGTCCCCCTTCGGGGCCGAACGGCCAAACGCCAGTGCCCCTGCCCAAGAGCACCCTCCCTGCAGCAGGACTGTGCCGTCCCCTCCCTGGCTACCCACCCGGTGTGTGCTGGCCACATTGGCACACCGCCAGCCACCAACATGGCCCCACGCTGCTGGGGGATGCGCTGGGATGGCCCCGGAGGACAAGTGCCAGCAGGGTGTTTGCAGCAGAGCAGGCAGGAGAGCAGCTGTCCCAGGAGCCGGGGTGCTGCCGCCTGTGGCCATGGACACAAAATGCCCAAGCTTTGGGGCGAGAGGGGAAGCAGCAACCCAGCAGCTGCCTGCCCTGCAGCTCCCGATGTGCTCTGGGCCTGAAGTGTTGCCAGTGGGGCTGCAAGCATCGCTGCCGGCGTGGGACGGGGCCACCCCGGTGGGTGCAAAGGGACAAGGGATAGCGTTGTCTGTGCACAGCCTCCAGCTCTGCGGTAACCCTTCGGAGGTGTCAGCTCTGCCTTATGGACAATAAACGTAGTGCAACAGGCAGCCGGGTCCAGAGGAGGGGAGGTGAGGTCCCAACTCTGCCCCCCTGATGGCACCAGGGAACAGGATGTGGGGTCCTGAAGGTCTGCTGCCGTGGTGGGCACTCCTCAGGATCCTGTCCCCGTTGGGGTCCTCTGATGATTCCCAGGGATGCCCCAGCACCTCCAGACAAAACCCAGGTCTCATCATGCTGTGGGGATGAGTTTTTTTAGTATCCAACTGGGATCTCCCCCCCTGCAATTTAAGACTTTGTCCTGTCCCCAGGGGATATGGAGAACAGACTATGTCCTTCCTCTGCGCAGCTGCCTCTTGCGTGCTTGAAAACTGTTCCTGTAGCTTCCCCTCAGCCGGCCGCTCTTCGTGGGGACAGCCCCACTCCGGCTGGTCCCCGCAGGGCTGTGCAGCTCCACACCCTTCCCACGGCAGCCAGCCGGCGCCTGCCCGGCGCTGTGCCGAGCCGTAGGGTAACTTCCTGCGTCTTGCAAAGGGACCATCTGGTTCGACCAGGCTGTTCAAATGCGTGCTGCTGGGGTATTTCTCGCGTGTGCCGGTCCCTCGAGGTTCACCTGGGCTCTGCACTGACCCTCCTGCGGGAAGTCCTGCCCCAGGCTGTGGTCCCTTGTCCTGCGCTGCTGCGGTTTGTTATATTGACAGCGTATGAGCTTCATCTCTGTTGGCTTCACCTTGCTGAGCCCTAGGCATGCCATTCAGCTGCCCATCTAGTTGTCTTCTGTGGTCCGTGGGAAGCAAGGGCTGCTCCTGCAGAGCCCGTTATCCTGCCCCAAGGCAGATGTGTTTGGCATTTGCCCTTCTGGACAAGAGTCTTTTTTTCCCCAGAAGGTGTTTCAACCCTGTCAATACAATTTTGATTTCCCATTCTGGCCTCCAGTGCTCTTTGGTGTCAACCACAGTCAATAGGAAGCAGCCTCTCTGCCCCATCACGGGGCAGACAAAATTTGACTGTGACAAATTGGTGCTGGCTGTTCCCGTCTCCCCTCAGCGCCCCCGGTGCTCTCCCCGGCTGCTGCAGGGTGAGGAGACGCCAACCCACCCTTGGCGTGGTGGGGACATGTGCGCGAGTGGCTCCTCGCACCCTGGCTGGTGCTCCCCGGGCTGTGCCACCGTGCTGCACCCTGGCAGGGTGGGACACCCCTCCAGCCGCCCACGCCAAGTGGCGGGGGGGGGGGGGCACAAGGCTGAGCGTGCCTGCAGGACCCAGCCACGGTGGCCCTGCTCCTGCACCGGCACCACTAGCATCTGTGCGGGCCCTGCCAATGTGCCCCATGGCTGCAGCCCTCCTGCCAGCACAGCTGCCGGGACAGTGCCACAGGGACGGTGCCGCTGGGCCGTGCAGAGCAGACCTGGTGCACACCGGTGCCAGGCAGCGCAGGGCAGGATGGAGCTGGAGCAGCCGCCCTGTGCCCCATGGCTGCCCTGTGGCTGCAGCGCCCAACAGCCTGCCCCGCCCCGCCCTGCCCGCCTTGCCCTGCTTG